AGATGATAATATTTCACTTAGAACTTGTTAATTCCATGTGAGAGTTGGAAGTTATATTTAATACTTCATTATTCAAATAAACAAGATTTTACCAAGCCTCAGTTTTATAAACAATCACCATAAACGATTTATCTTCATTTGTACATGGTAGAATATTATTCCATAGTCTTTTCAATAGTGTATTACCTTTGAATAAAATATTAAATTGTCAGTGATGTTACTATTGATGCTGGTAATATAGAAAGAAAACAATTTATTGGATAATAAGGAAAGCTATTAGCACTTTATTATAACACTTCCTTTTCCCAAGATATTGAATAATAAAAATATTTTCTTTTAAATTCACATAGATGAAATATTTTTCAATTTGATAATATAAATTTTATGAAACAACTGTTTAGAGATTAAAAATAGTGTTCACAACTTTTAAAATCAACATAACCATTTATATTTGTAGAAAAAGAATAGTTATAGTTTAAACATTCTATTTTCTAACTGTCAACACCATTTATATAGTAGATTCAATGTCCAGTACTCTTGCTTTTAATGCTTGGGATCGAACTTGAGTATCAGAAACTTGAGTTTCAGAAAGTCTCTGTCTTCTAGTTGATGAAGGTTTCATTTTTATTGAATTTTGAATGCTGCTTGAAATAAAATAATATACTATAGGGTCAAAACAACAGTTTGAAACAGCAATACACAGAGTGATTGGATACATAACTCTAACAGCAGTAACAATTGAACAATTAATCCATGCTTGGGTTCTCATGAGAGCATAAAATATTAGGGTGATGTTATACGGAACAAAACAGAAACAGAAAATCAGTAAGTGAACGAGTATCATTCGTAGAACTTTTTTTTTACTTAATTTATTCCTGGTCAGTGTAATTGGCTTATTTAATGTCCTTATGACTATTGCAGAGCATGTCACATTCAGTATGAGAGGAATAAAAAAGCCTACAGTTTCAATGAAAATAATAATTCTTGAAAGATAGGTTTTCCAAGTTTTTTCAGAAAAGTTTTCAAAGCATGTATTGTGTGTCCATCCTTCAGTACTAACATGGGCATTGGTGGATTGAAAGAAACTTGCTGGTATGCTTCCTGTCGTCACAATTATCCAAATTATAATGCAGATGATCTTTGCATTTCTTTTTGTTCTGATTGTCTTTGACCAAAATGGATATACAATTGCTAAAAAACGGTCAACACTGATACTGGTTAAAAACAAAATGCTCCCATACATGTTTGTATAAAATAGTGTGACAGAAATCTTGCATAGAACATCTCCAAATGGCCAGTCTTTTGATGCAAAAGAGTAAATTCTGAATGGTAATGTAAACACAAAAAGGAGATCTGATATTGCTAAATTAAGCATGTAAGTTGTAGTTTCATTTCTGATTTTTAGTGTGCACGTAAAGATGTAAATAGCAACACAGTTTGATATTAAACCAAGGACAAATACCATACTAAACACACAGCCATATAAAGTATATTTAAAGGAGTCTTGAATAGTACAATTGGAATTTGCCATCATAATGACAACTTAATTATTTATAATTAGAAAATTCCTTAGTAAGTCTGTACCTTTGTTATAGCTGTAGTAAATCCTCAGATGGTTTATAAATCTAGTCTTTCCCTTCACTTGGGTCCACATTATTTGAAATGTTCATAGTTCAGTAAGCCAGTTCCACTTATCAGTATGTCATTCCTTTCTTCCAAGAATATTAGTTGTTCATGTTCACAAATCTAGACGGTAGTAAATTTCAGAAATAAGGAACATTGTCCTTCAAATTAATTAAAATCCAAGTATAATTTCTTCAAATGTTGAGATTGCTCCTTCTCATTCACTGGAAAAATATTGGAAATAAAAAACATTACAAATAAATCCTTTGTAAAGTTAAATTAAGTAACTTTGAAACTTCTGGGAAAATAGATGTCCAGGTTTCATCACTGTGTTGCAGTTTTCAATCTTCTTGTCGTTGAACTGTACGATGGAATAAAATTCCGAAGCATGTCCTTTCTTGCTGAATTTCAGCTTCCTCCTCAGATGCTACTCTGCTATTATGCGTTTCCGTCTTCAGAGAAGATTAAACAAAAAGCCCTACCCATGCTTACTCAACTTACATGATAACATCACAGGAAGAAGGGGCTGAGCTACAAAAGGTTTCAGTTTTCAATTCTGCTTTAAGGTGTTTAGTTGAAAAGATTTTAGTCACAAATATTTGTATTGGAAAGTATGCATATAACTCAGTGTGATAATCAAAACTTCTTTAACTGTCTTGAAATATTTGCTAGACTGAACTTATTTTAGAGACACTTAAACTTTATTAGTCTTAAACATAAGTGTTTTTCTGTAGTAAACATAATATATGCACATTATTTAAAGCTTGTTGTAAAGGCATGTTTACCATGCAATGAAGTACAGAATGGGACCTTCAGGCTCCCACCTTTGGCCACGCCTCCTTTGCCTCCAGCCACCCATTCACAGCCAGCTTTTCTCCTCTGCTGGCCCTCCCCCAGCGATTCTCCCTGGCCAGTGGGCCTCTGGCCCTACGCCCCTTGCCCTTCGGCTCAGCCCATTCACCGAGACACTGTTTGTCTTGAGAGTTTCACTCCATGTGACAAAAAGCTGCCAGGCAATTGGGTAGCAGGTAGTAACGATGGGGCTGGGAAAGGTGACCAAGGAGGCTGAAAGAAGGTTGCGATTGGTGACAAGTTATGGAAGAGAGCGGCGGGAAGAAGCAAATGCTGCCTGCATATGGCTGGTGCTGGTGTTGGGAGGAGGAAACAGACAAATGCTGCCCGTGCGCTGCTTCTGGGGGGGCTAGAGGCAGCAGATAGGCAAACGTGTGGTTCGTGCTGGTGCTGGGAGGAGGCGGAGGCAGGCAAACACTACTTGCGTGTTGCTCCTGGGGGCTGGGAGGCGGCAGGGCATTGACGTTAAACACAGCTGCTGGCGGTGTGTGGGGGAGGTGTCAAATGGCATGGCACGCAATGGAGGGGTAACTTAGCTGCCCATTTAGTGTTAAGCCAGAGTCCAGGCTTAGAGGCAACAGATGTGAAAGTTCGAATTGCTGCCCATTGCCTGTTGCTGCCTGCCCGTTGCCCGCAGCGGCTTCCTATTTTAACCCCCTTCCCATTTTCACCCTTGCCATTGCCTCCACACATGGACTTTGGCCTGACGCCTAGCAGGCCCCCTCCTGTCTGATGCTGAATGGGCAGTTTGGCTGCCCCTCATCATGCGCCGCCACCTTTTGACCCCCTGCACCACCACCACCACCAGCTGCACATAGACAGGGTTTGTCTGCTTCCTCCCAGCACCAGCCATATGCAGGCAGCTTCCCCCAGCCCCCCAAAGTCTATAAAAATATTTTTGCTTGGTGCTGTATAATTATAGATTTTTCAAAACATTTTTTTTGCATTAAACTGTTATATTTTCTGAGCTGGTATTTCCTTGTTGATTCAAATGAGCTTTAGAGTTGAGCTACTTTGAAACCAGTCTTTATTTCATGAAAGCCTTAATGTTTCATCTTGATTTCCTATACATGTATATGTAGCTAAATACAGGATGTTTAATACTGTGGGACAGAATTTAATATGTTTAACTTCATGCACAAATGTGACTATCTAAATATTTTCCCTAGATAAAAGTGAAAAAAGGTACAAAGTCCTAGGTGTAGGGTGTGGCTCTGCTTAGTAACATTCCTTGAAAATTCAGCTCTATAGTGCTGGATTATCTTAGCATATCAAGTGAATTTATATGAATTTTATGGCATTTTACTTCTTATGCGGGCGTTCAGAAAATATGACAACGGCTTATCGAACATACATTGGATGGAAAGAATTCTTGTTAGATTTTAAGTGTTTTATAAATTTGTCTTTGATCCTAAATACTATAGATATGAATGTATGTACTACTTTAAAATTCAATTATGAATCTTATAGCCAAGCACCACTTAGTGGTGGAATTGTGCTATATCTCAGTTAGAAGAATTGATATGGCATTTTCTGTAAACATGGTATTATCTTTTAAAACTTCTGAGGAAATGCTGAAAACAATGTACAATTATCTTTAGATAACAGTAGTTTGGGTTTCCCCCCCAGAAAAGTAATATCTTTGTATAGATACTGTTTTACTTGGGTGCCGCTTTTTACCATTTCCTTATTATATTTGATATAATGTTGATAATTGAGGTAGACAAATGGCAGCATTCAATGAGCCTCAAGGTTGTTTCATTCCATTTCAGCTATGATTTTGGTTAATTCCTAACTCTTAATGAATATTTCATCACCACTGAGCATGCTTAATTCTTACCAACATTTTGAAAATGTTTGTATCACAGCTTGTCCTTTTTGATAACGTGCACTATTATTGTTCTAAGGTATGATGTTTGGGGATTGTTTTACTACATATTGCTTGGCCATTTACCTTTATATAGCCTTATTTTCAGGGTTAAATAAGAAGTATTCCTTTGAATCATACCTAAATAATACTTGAATGAGAGACTTCTAGGAAATTTCAGGAGTTGGATGCTATTGTGATACTCTGCAGCACTCCTATCCATCTAATATTATAAACATATAGAAATGAACCTTTTTGAGACTCAGTATAGATCATTTTACATGGTATTATTAATGAGGAAATCGGGCTTATTTGTGACACAAAATAAAGCAGAACAGTATGAAAGTCTTACAAAATTGTGTATGCTTATTATATCTCATTGATTTCTTATATATTTCATAAGTTGTGATTTACTAATGTAATTATTTAAATAACTTAACATGCAGCTTTCTGTGTGCATATATACTTTATATATAAGTATTATGATTGCTAAATTCCTTGCTGTTAAAAACTGTATTGACAAATGTTTGAAACAAACGTATGTGAAAGTTAACTTCTATTCTCAGTAGTCATAGGATGGCTCTTCTAAGATAGACTATCATGTTATGAGTAAGAAGAATTTAAATAAGAAATGTAATTATTGTTTGGTGTCTTTTAGAATTCACCATTATTTGAACTGATAAAGCAGTCCAAAGACCGAGAGGGACAGGCTGATGAGCCCGAACCTGCCAACTATTTTACCCAACCTCTTCAACATAATCACAGTGCTGCAGATTTGTAAGTAAGACGGTCCTCAAAGGAGATACTTTCCACTTTCGTATAGAGCTACCCTCTTTCATGTGGGAATCCAGATTAAAAGATTGCTGATAGACAGTTGTGTAGCATCTGCTTGAATATAACACAGCAGGAAACGGAAGCTTGCTACCTCTGGGTAACTTTTACTATTGTCAAGTGGTATTTTCTCTTAAGAATTTCCCTAATACTCACTCAGAATTTGCTTTCCTGTAATCATAGGATTCATTATTTGCTGATTTTATCAAAATCATGAAAGTAGTATTCTGCTGTCGTGTTGCAAGTTTTGCTTTTGTGGGGCGGACAGGCATCGTTAAAATGCAGAAAAGAGTGAGCAGGCTTTTTGATAACGCCAGGCTGTTTTTGTTGGTCTGCTTCCCCCTATAGATGCAGATAGCCTGCAGTTTAAATCCATGATTCCGTATCTTGCACTTTGCACCATCCTTGAACATCCCTTTTATCTGTTTGAACAGTGCTACTTCGTGCTATTTTATTCTATATATTACTGTCTTTGAGACATAATGGCATCTAAGGATGTTTACAGCAAATGCAAGTTCCAAACATTTGAATTAAAACGTAAGAAGGTTAAGACAGTAAACAGACAAGGTACAGCAGGAAATAGATCCAGTATGATGTTTTCTCACACTGCAATTTTTCGAGCTATGTGAGCTGTGTCTTATTAGTAACAGTCATTGAGAGCTGGATTGGAAAGCAATTAATGGAGAAGGAGGGAGCCCACCTTCTACTCAGTCGTTATGAAAATTAGGCTTGTGGTCTCGAATAATTACCCTAATTACCCTTTTTAATTCTCTGTGCCTGTATCCTTTTTTTTTTTTAGGTACCTCTCTCCCACAAAGTCTCCTAAGAAAAAAGTTTCTTCCCCTTTTGCATACTCTTTTCCAGAGTCTCAGAAACCTTATAAATCTAGTTCTTTGTCATATTTCTATAAAAAAGGTAGGTGGATTTCAAAAGCTATTTTCAATGTTATCTCTGTTGTCGAATCTCGATTGGGGTGTCTAACATTGGCAACATCAAGACTAGTGGACCTCAACTCTCAGAATTCTAGGAAGTTGCCGGGGTGTACAGCCCTGGTCTGGTGTAAATCATGAAGGTGGCAGGTGAGGGGGCAAATGCACCAACTGCACAGGGAAGTCTCCTGGCTGGAAGGAAGGACTGGAGACGGAACAGATGTTTAAGGCATGCTACGGTTCTAAGTTAATCCGTTGCCCACCACCACCACCACCACTAACTTTTGTACAATTTAAAAGTAGTCCTGAAGTATATTTTAATTGCAGCATTATGTAAATTATCAATATTTCTTAAATATTTTAATGCCTTTCTTGATATCTTGTGTAATTACTTGCCCATGACATATGAGTCACAGAATTTTCTTAAATGTACAATTTTACCAAATTAAAAATGACCTCATTATTATATATTAGTATTTCCTAAGATGTTTCTACAAATTCAAGCAATGATTTCAGATGACTGAAAACACTTCTGCTGAAATCACACCAGCATTATTAGAAAAGAAGAGCTTCTATACCGTTCTCAAAAGCGATTGCCTCTCAATAAATATGCTGACTTTGTACAGGCTAATATAATTTTTGTTGTGATTAAAATAACACATACACCTTGTTACATTCCTGGAGTAAACTCTTAAATATCTTCTGTACATTATATTACATTATCTCCCTGTGTCTCTATAAGCATAAACATAAATATAAATACTGATTTGACCTTGTTTGTAATCTATAAACAAATCTCTCCTCCAGTGTATTGCTTGGCCTATAGACGATTAAATAACTTATGTTTGCGTCTTCTGCCTGACCATCCTGAACTTGAACATTTGATATGGACCCTTTTTCATCACACACTGCAAAATGAGTATGAACTAATGAAAGACAGACATTTAGACCAGGTAATATATCTGACCGGATGGGCTTATTTACTATTTTACCTTTTTTTAATTTAGATTTTTCCATGCTTGAAACAATGGTAATTTTACATTACATTGCCTTAAGCCTAACAGAAACTTGATGATAGGCAAGCAAAAACAAAATGGTAATGTTATCCATTCAGTCATGTCCAACTCTTGGCAGTTCTGTGATCCAGGCCTCTCACATCTTACAAGCTTGGACTACGTTGAGCTTTTCTATGCTCTGGCTGCTGACAGCTTTGATGGTGTCCAGCCACTGTAATCTTTGACAGCCAGGTTTCCTTTTACCGCTAACTCTTCCAAACATAATTGCTTTCTTCAGTGAATTCCCCCACATGACATTGCCAAAGTATGTGAGAAACAAGTAGTAACACACAAATGGTAAGACAAGATTAGAGAGAGTTATCAGTCCGTTATATTCCTTCAGGATTATTTATCATTGAAAGCTAGTGTCCCTATTTAGAGTGATAAATTTAGGAAGTATTCAATATCATTCCCAAGTTTGGCATATAATTGGTGTTCCGTATCTACTTCTCATGTTAAATGTCTACATGAACCTTTCTCAGGCTGGTGCCCCAATTTTTTGGAATACAATATTTAAAGGATTTTGTTTTGTTGTTAAAATGCTATTTAATATTACATAGTTTTATATTTCTAATAACTTTATTATCTTGTTACGTTTGTTATTTCAATTGTTTAAATAAACTTTACATATTTTTAAAATTAATGTTGCAATAGCTAAGATCTCAAAGCTTTTTCCATTCCTGAAAGGCCTGAGCTGAATTTTCTTTAATGACGAGTTGTGATGGCCCTCTCTGCTTTTAAACAGATTATGATGTGTTCCATGTATGGCATATGTAAGGTGAAGAATATTGATCTCAGGTTTAAAACTATTGTGACAGCATACAAGGAACTCAACAATGCAAATCAAGAGGTATGGGACACTTTTAAGCATTATTTGTATTAAAACTCTTATTTTGTCTTGAGTACCTTTGCAACAATAATAAGCAGCCAGGAGCTTCTAGACAACACTGATTTATGGACATTAACTGTGACATCTTGTAGCAGTTGTGGCAGGAAACAATTTTATCAACTTGCCTTTCTGCTTAGCAATCAGAAATATTAGCCAAATTAGCCATTTTTCTTTTTTCTTTAAAATAAATATTGATTTTTAAAAATAAACATAAACAAAACATAAAACATAAAAACATAAAATATCTTTTTTGAAAGCAGCTTGATCCCGGGTTACATATCTTCGTACAGACACAAATTCAAATTCATGCTCATTTTATATACCATTCCATTTCTTATTACCATTCTATATTTCTCCCCTCTTTTAACTTTCTTAATTTTATTTTATATATTTCACCTCAGTTCAGATCATTATACTTATATTCGTTCTTTGTCCTGTTTCCAGCTGTCTATTATCTTTTCTCATTAAACAAAATTTCTCCTGTAATCACTGAATGGAGTATGACACCTTTATCTCTTTCCCCTAAATTTATAACACTTAGTATAATACATAGCTTCCATTCGGATTCTGCTTAGTACATTCTAAAGTTACACACTATATTTTAAACAGAAAAAAAATTATAAATATATAATATAATTAAAACAACAATCCATACCAATTCAAATCTATCATTAATATTAATATTCATTTAAATCTTAAACATTTTACACATTACTTTTCAAACAAGTATACTTCTATGGGAACACTTATAAATTTTCCATAGTTATTTCCCCACCACTTCACTTATATTTTAAAACATTGTATCATTAAAATGTTCCTATTCCTTCCTGATTCAATTCTCTTATTTATTTCATTTCATTTATTTTGTTCACAAAAGTTTCACTGAATTACACTGAGTATTTTATCCCACTTTTTAATCATATGTTGTTTCCAATTTCCTAACATTATTTCTAATACAAATATAACAATACAATCTTATGTACCTTTGCAGAATCACTTTTTCAGTTAAGTTTTTACCCATTATCTCTAAATAAGTCCTGTTTCTTTACATCTTGCTCCACACCTTCGTAGCTTCTCTTCCCTTCCTTCCTCCCTTGCTTCTTCTCTCTGCCCTTTTTACCCCCTTGTCTCTCCACCTCCATTTCCCTCTTCTGTGTTCCCCTTTTCTGTTGCTTTCTAATATTCACTTTTCACCTTAATTTTCCCTTTTTGGGTTGTTTTTTTAGGTCTTAAAATCTCCATTTTCTTTCCCTCCTTTCCCCTTTCTTCCCCAAGTAAAGTTACTTGTTTGTTAAAGATGGCTTTTTCTTTGTCCCAATTTTCTTGTTGCGCAGTCTTTTCTTCTAGTTTCTCGTAGGTACAGATCACCATTTCTAAGAATTGAAAAACAGAGCCAAGAGAGCCCTTCCCTTCTTGTTCCTCTTCTTTGTATTTTTTAAATTCCATTTTCAGTTCATCCACAAGTGATGCCATTGTAAAAAAATTTTTTCAAACAACCACCCAAGTGTTTTTAGTCATTCAAATATAATTTCCAAAAGTCCCAAAGTCACCAAGCAATCCAAATACACACAAGCTGTTTCTTTTGACACTTTCTTTTTTGTTCACTTTCTCTTCCTGGGGTTACTATTTAGTTACAAAGTTCCAGTTAAAATGCATCTTTTAGAAGTCTTGTTAGGATTTAATCAGATTCTTTTAAATTCCAGGCAGTCTCCTCCTTCCAAATCCTGCTCTTATTCTTTTCCTCTCCCTTCCCACTTACAGCCAAAAAAAGTCTTTTTTTTTAGTGTTCAGAAATCCTTATTATCCCCTTGACATTTAATTATCCAGTTTAATTACCTATTGATGCCAAAGTGGGTTTTCCAATTTCTCATTCATCTTTGTTCGCTGTCAACGTTAGGAAGGAGAGTGAAAAAAAAAACAGCTTTCCCCTTTCACTTTCATTCGCTGCTTCTGAATCTTCCTTGGGAGCGATGTATCTTTTTTAAAAATTTAAATTCCAAGATACCTTAGTTGTTGCTTCTTATCCCGGTCAGCCAAAACTTTCACTTCTTAACTTCCTCCTGCACTTTCTTTTCCGGATGAGTGCTTCTTTGAGGCGGCCATTTCTGACCGCCGCTCTTACCGCCTTTGGGAAAGGGAGTTTAGCCAGCTGGGGAGGAAAGATGCGGCTTTCCTCGACCCTGCTGGATCTCCCCCCTCTTTGCCACCTCTACGGGGTGCCTTGGCCCCAAAGCCAACTGGCTGGGGATGCTCCAGCGGCGAGCCCAGGCAGAAACCGCGCACGATCGCGGATTCCTGCCTGCCGCCAAAGCCCTGCAAACCGGAAGTCCCCAGATTAGCCATTTTTCAAGAATGCCACTACATCTTCTCAACATTCCAAATGAATATGTGGTCAAAAACTAAGCAAAACGTCAACATTAATTAGTATATCACTATATCCAATCATGAAATGCCAGGTAAAAATACTTCCCTCACATTTTATTCAGTATACCACATGTCTAAATCATTTCAGAAGGATGACTCAAAAAAGGTGAAATACACTGAACAGTAATTATTCATTATATTTTTAATTCATTCAGGAACAAACATTTTCTGAATAAATCATCTTCAGATTAATGAAGCTAACATTGTTGAGAAGATGGGGAAGGGAGAGTGAGGATAAGAATTTTCTAAAGAAGGAAAATCCTGTACAGAGATGTCACAAACAGATATAGCTACTGGAAGAAGTTGTTATTATAGAGGGCTGATGCTTAACTTTCTAATTCCATCTAGACATTCAAGTGCGTTTTGATCAGGGAAGGACAATATGATTCCATTATAGTCTTCTACAACATGGTATTTATGCAAAGACTGAAAACCAATATTTTGCAATATGCTTCCAATAGGGTAAGTAATTATGCATCTATCCTCTAATGAATATTTTTCAATAACAATTGACAAATCCTCATAGCGCTAATTTAAAATTTCATCTTCCAGCCTCCAACATTAACACCCATTCCTCACATTCTACAGAGCCCTTATAAGTTTTCTAATTCTCCTTTACGTGTTTCTGCTGGAAATAACATCTATGTCTCACCTTTGAAGAATCCCAGCAAATTTTCTGAAGGGCTATTGTCACCCACAAAAATGACACCCAGAACAAGGTTAGTAAATTATTCCTTTAAGCAACTAAATCAAACAGCAACCTAAGCTGGATAGATATTTTTCAGTTTTAATAGAAGTGATCACCTACTGCTATTCTTCCATTATAGGGAATATCTATTTAATTAGACATAAAAAGTTGTTTGTACAATCTTCACACCCTCAAAAAAAACCCTTGCTGTCATAGATTATATATTCTATATTTACATTCTGGATGTAATGTGAATGGCATTCATAGTTTCCTAGACTTTAATATATTTGTTAGTGTGCTAATAGAGCCTCATGTGGACTTTCATCTTGAGCTGTCTATGTGGGACTTCTGGTGAGGACAAGGGAACCATAGATTCAAAGAGCTAATTGGGAGGAGTGATCAGTCCTATCCTCCTTTCTCTGTTCTCCCCTTGGCCTGCTTACTGCCATTCCTGCTGCTTGCTAGTAATTGCTATTTTGCCGCTTTGATGTTCACATAGCTGGCCTCAATTGCTGATGTGAGCAGCAGTGTCCTTTTCTTGGTCAGGTGGGGATTCAGTTTCCATAAATTAACAACCCCTTGTTTTGCTGCTGTTTTTTTTAACCCATATTTTATTGTAAAATACAGATTTTCTGGAAAGATGCTAAAATAATCAAAATCTGAGAGCAGTAAAAAGTTTGCTCACAGAAACATATTAACTACTGGGCTGAAAGAGAATCTGCCCCAAAGAAACTAAAAACAGAACTGCATTGTCCTAATGCTAATATGACAGTAGTCAGCACAAGGGCTAGAGAAACTTTAGGGCACCAGGTGGAGCAAAGAAGAAGGAGCTGTTGTTTGAAAGGGAATCTGCCCGTCCTCTTTCTGCAGGTCCACATAAAAACAAAAGTTGTGTAAATGAGCAAGCACTTCCCACCCAGTTTAAGCTGGCTGCTTCTGGGCAGGTTTTAGGGCATTCTGGCAGATAAGCTCACTGACTGACCAGGGAAGCTTTTTTTAAAGGACCTTTAAATTTATGGACCCTTATATTCCCAAAGTATCCTTCTAGTAAAACTTGGTGGAGGCTTGAATATTTTCCTAGAAATTACACGAGTGGAAAAACATGAATAAGAAGACTGTTTCACAGAACTTTCATGTGTTTTTCTGATTATTATTGGGAAGAAAAACATTTCAGGTAGAATTATTTTTAAAGGATATGCCTCATAAATATGATTTGGGTCTTTAGAATTACTATTTCAGATATATTGTCAGAGAAGGCATCTATTCCATCTCAAGCTGAAAAATACTTTAAGGTATTATTCATTATGAATCTCCAAAAATGGAGGCAAACATCAAATCCAGATTAATTTATCCAGGGAAAGTATCTGTATGTTTGAATGATTTCTGGATGAACTTTTGATTTTGGCATAATTAAAATTTAATGAGTGCAACTCCTTCTTAGAATATTTCTTTTTGCCTTTTCTGTCTTCAGAAAGTAGGTCCTGTTGTGGCATTGGGAATTAGTAAAATAGATATTATCTATATACCCTGTTTCCCCCAAAATTAGCCCTATCCCAAAATAAGCCCTAGTATGTTTTTCCGTTTGTGCCTAATGTAAGCCCTAGCCCCAAAATAAGCCCTACTAAAGAGCCTGTGCAGCCTGCTGCACAGCCATTCCGTCTGGTTGCTTGTGGTGCTGTAGCTGCGAGGGGTGTGGAGTTGCCCCACATACCCCTCATTGGCTTAATCAGGGTGCTTGCAGCCAGGCCGCCCAGGCCCCGACCCTTGCCTCGTGGTGGCAGCACCAGCAGCAATATGCAGGAGCCCACATGGCCGCCAGCCCACTTCTACTTGCTCATGGTTGCAACAGAGGAGGCTGAGTGGCACGCTGGTGCCACAGCCTTGAGGTGAGGCAGGTGTTGGCATGGATGGCCTAAAGTAAGCCAGTGTGGGGCAGCTCCATCCCACCGCCGCGCGGCAGCGGCACTGGGACATCCTGTGGCCTCCTGCAAGCAGAAGAAGTGGGCCTCCCATACATGGAAAACAAAATAAGACACCCTTCCCCTACACCTCCCTGGGAAAATAAGCCAGAATGCTTATTTTGGGGCTCCAAAGAAAATAAGATGTGATCTTATTTTCGGGGAAACACGGGTAGTAATACAACTAGACAATATTGTATATATTGCTTTATATTAATATAGCTTTTATGTCTATGTTGTGTATAGTCTCAAATGCCATTTCTAGAAAAAAGATTAAATTTTTTTTTATTTACCTTGTCCTACAGAATATTGGTTTCAATTGGTGAGTCCTTTGGGGTAAGTTTCCTATTTTGAATAATTATTTAAATTAAATAATTTGTTCTAGATACAACCGAGGTTTTATATTTCTCTTGATATTTTTTTGATGAAAAGTAATTGAAAGTCATAGTTGACACTGGAAGAAAAACCAAGGTGCAAAGTGTTATGACCCAGATGGTCAAGGCAAAGCAGGCCTCTAGAGAGTCCTTTATTGCCATAAGTAAATATTCCAACAAACAGCCCTCTAACAACCCTGCAAGGCTCCACCCCAAACTACCCTGAAGGCAACCACGCTCAGTCCCCCAAACCACCATCTGTATATAACAAAGAAAGTCCACAGAATAGGAACACACTCACAGGGTGAGTTCCAGGGTCCCAAGTCCAGTCCATCCAGCTAAACAAGTCCACAAGGCAAAATGAGGTCTTGAGACAAAAGACAGTCCTCAGGGCAAAGGCAAGGTACAAGGCAAAAGGCACCAGTCAAGGCCGGGGGAATGTAAGCCAAAACAAACAATTGCTGTTGGCAAAGACTAAATCCCCAGGGCTTCTCCTTAAATCAATCCACTCCAGTATTCCTTGTGAGGAGGGGTGGAGCGACCTTCTCCTGAGGAGCCTTGCAGCCCTTCTTTGAGCTTGCCTATGCTATGCTCTCTGTTCCCTTGGATTGAGTGGGGAGGCAGCTGTTCCTCATCAGAGGGGATCTGCTGCCTATTAGCAGTTGTTCCTCCCCTGTGTCTAGGAGTGCAAGTAGCTCTCCATCTGGTTGACCACCTACCCCAATGCCTGGGGGGCCTGGAGCAGCATCATGCTCAGCCCCTGGCCTCTCCAAACATACCAAGAGAGACATGCCATCCCCATCGGACGGTCCCGATTCCAGCTTCTCCTCCAAACCAGGCTCCGATGGGGCCATGACACTAGGTTTCCTCTTGCCTATTTTTCTATTCCAAAATTACCAGATGTTTTATCCCCACCTGTTAGTAAGGAACAGACATTCATTAGTAGGAAAAGATTTCAAATGGAACCATAGGTAGTTAATGGTTGTGCAAAAAATTGCAGATCTGGCTTTGGGGAAGGAAAAATGGAAATTGTCCTGAGAAAGTAGAGAGGGTAAGAAAGAAACTCAAGATAACACTGTCTCAGTTTTATTTTAAAATGAGATGAGGCAAAGAGAACCTCTTGATAGGCTTTCCAAGTTGTGGTTATCCTAGTCTGAAACAGTAAAGGGCGTTCCTGGAATCCCTACTGCTTTTCTGTCTTCATCTTGCTTACTTCAGAAGGATGACAACGTCCCACATTAGCAATGTCAGTTCACTTCTATAGGAATTGGAGCCAAAATATGCATCAAAGTGCATATCAATAAAAGAGAATATTTATAGTTCAGGATTGAAGGATTCTTGATGTTCTCTGAGCTTGGTTACTTTCTTTCGTTACCCAAACTAGGTAACATCATCAATATCAGTGATGAATGGGGTTTGCTCTCAATTTATATTCTTGTGGCATGCCCTCTCAGTGTTTTGGAGGTTCTTTGGTTGGGCTGTTTATTATTAGCTTGTTTGGCAATTCCTGGATTGGAGTATTTACTGCTTGATTGTTGGTCTGATGTTCATTTTAGTGTTAATCTATGCTCATCTGAGTGTTCATTGCTGTTGGGGGCAGGGTGCTTTCGTCTTTTTGTTCCCCTTTTAGCTTGTTGATTGTCTTTTTTGCATTAGATGTAGATGTTGTCTATGTCTATTTATGGTTGCTGGATGTTTGGTTTACTTAGGATGTTTTGGAGGGCTTTAGTTGTGTGTTGTGCTGATTCCACATGCTTGTAATAGTCTGTCAACGGTTTCTGAGATGCTTTTGATGTATGGCTGTGTTAATCTTTTTATGTCTTATGTTAGTTGTGCTCTATGAGTGGTGAGGCACCTTTTGATGAAGTAGTGTGGATATCAAGTTTGTTGGAAGTTGCATAGATGATCTGTTTCCTTTTTCTGCTGTTCAGGGTTGCTGCTGTGTGTTTTATGCTTGTCTGAATAGAGTTTTTACACAGCTTCTCCTGTGGGAAGTGGGGAACACTTGATTGTTTTTTCCAGAAACCTGTATTTTTAGTTTGCCATCATAATCTCTGTAATATCTAGGATGTATTGTGAGTTGCTGTTTTCTTTTTCCCTGGTGAATTGTATTCCTTTGAAGATGTTGACGGTTTTGGGGTGTTCTCTAATTGACCCTTTTTCATTACGGTGAAGGTGTCATCTACATATCAGATCTACTTTGGAGTTGCATTTGTGGGAGTACTGTTGATTCCAGATGTTTCATAAGGATGTCCATTGATAAAATTCTTCAAATTGTGACTCAGAGATTATCAAGGTTTTAGGTTTCCATTTAATTGTGAACATTGAACAACTGTGGTAATCAGAATGGAATGGGGTACTTTGTCAAATCTTTTTATTGAAGTCAAGATCTACATCATTCTCCAAATCTCTTGACAGAATTATCTGTTCAAAACAGGATACACCATTAATTTGTACGGTCTTAAAAGCTCAGTCCTAATTTCTTTTAATTACTCAATTGTTTTGGGGATGCTTAGAGATCACATTATACTCTATCCTAGAATCTTCCCTGGTTTCAGTAGCAGACTGACTAGTCTTTAAAGTTCTGGATCTTTCTTCAGAGATAACATTTTCTTGTTATCTGCTCCTTGATCCAAACAGAAAAAGACTATGCATAAAAGAAATAAAAGTTGCCATTTCTTTAAGCCCAGAGGCTCCCAACATGCTTTTAAGATACAGCCGGAAAGAACCCTCTTTGGAGGAAATCAGTGCCAAACTTCAGCTTTCCAGTGTTACACAACAAAGCAGAGCAAAATCTGTTTGGGCCAGGAGAAAGACAGCTTCTCCTTCTTAACAGAATATCAGAAGCAGAAGGAACCATGGAGATCTTCTAGCCAATCCCCTGCTCAAACAGGAAACCCTATACCATTTCAGACAACTTCTGGAGGCAAGTTGTTCCACTGATAAATCAAAATGGATTTGTTCTTTCTACCAGGAAAACTCAAAAAATTATAAAGCGGTTACTTTTGGTTGCTCGGTATTCTGAACAAAAGCACGCATAGAGGCTTGGAATATGCTGTCAGCTTGTTTTAAGGGCCCCATTCATATTTTCTCTTAAAGGAATTCCACTTAATACTTATCCAACCATATGTAAAAATAAATTATCTTCTTAATTATCTTTCTGGTATTCTAGAGTTCTGAAAAGTTTCAAAAGATAAACAAGATGGTTTGTAACAGTGATCGTCATCTCAAACGGAGCCCTGAACTAAGCACCACTCCTAAGCCTTTGAAGAGATTGCGTTTTGATATAGAAGGTCAGGATGAAGCTGACGGAAGGTGAGCTGATTTCTGAATAAAATAATGCAGGTCTATATAAGTGATCCCATCTGGGTTCATTCACATAGAGTTTTGGCTTAGTTTGTGGAAACCCATCTCTGCTATCTAGTTTATGGCAGAAATATATAACTGCAATTTTTAATGAGATTATAGTGGAAAAAAGAGACATGATTACAAAGTTATCAGAATAGTTTAATTTTCATTAAATTTATATGTGAACTCAATATGACCAATTTTAGTTTTTGATTCATGTGCCTGCATTTCATTGTATTACAGTGATTTGTGTGTAAGACAATGGTTGGGATATGTAGATGGAGGGATCAATTGATTTTATAAGTGGATTATTTTATTAGTTAATGCTATTAGTCCTGGCCTGCCTGAACTCTATCTTTTGGCATACCCAAGCATATGTGGACAGGCAGATATGTCCCATGCATCTTTGTTCTAAGCAATGGGACATCCCCGGGATTGATTTTAACTGGGTTGACTCCTTTAGGTTGACATGATGTAGAAAATGTACATTGGATAGGATGTTTGTTATATATTTATAAGAAAAATATCAGGATGCAGTGGACAAATTTCTCTGTGTTATTTGCATCATTTATTCTATTTGCATATTGATTATCAGATGGGTACAAATGATGTAATTTATACCATTAGCATAATGTTGCTATAGATCAGATATGTCCAACATTTGGCTTGCCTGTGCTGCATTGAGTGAAGAGGAACTGGGCCGCATATAAAACGGTTCATTGCAGAGTCAGCCGAATGTTCAGACTGGATTTGGCATTTTAGCTACCTATCGAGTCTTTCCCAGCAACCTGGGATAGGAAGATGTTGATGATCCAGTGTTAGAGGTATTGTAAGAAGTAAGCTGTTTTGAGAAAAGCTGCCTTTTGTGATTGACTGATGTGAGTTTGTCAATACCGTTGGTGTTCAAGTGGTGCTCTAGTTTGGATTGCACCAAGAGGCTTATTACTATTGTTACCTTTGTTTTCTTTTACATGTATATAAATATCAGATTTCCTTTATTTTTAAATATTTTTTAATAAAAACTTGGCCACATTACTACCTGCCAAGGGCTGTATGCAGCCCATGGCCTGGATATGCCTATTATAGATGATTTGCTGTCCAGTTCAGTGGGCAACCCCCCCTTTTCTTTCTACCTGGTCCATAAATTGTTTCTTTGTGATTTTTTTTTCAAATTTTAGTAAAAGCAGTATGCAGAAAGAAGCTAAAAATGTAATTTGAACACTGTTAAACTGATATCTTTCTTTAAGAGTTTCCCCTGCCCTCCTTGGTGGTTGTGCCTGCTGAGCTTTCGTAGTTTTCTTGCCCTCAACACAGGGAACTTTCTAGCTCAATTGGACTGGTTCTTGAATTGTTTTCTTCACATACGTGTACCATTTATTGGTAGTTTATTAACCATATTAGTTTGCAGGTTCCCAATTTCAAAGATGTTGCTCTCTTAAGCAATTTAGTAATAATAATAATAGTAACTTAGACATAGTGTTAGGTCTACTTTAGTTATACCAATTAATGATGGCAGAGAATATCTGAAATAGGGCTGTTGTGTTGAAATTGTAAATTCTATGTAATTTATTATTTTTGGAAAAAATGAAATTTGAAATTTAACTTTTAAAGTCGGGATTATATAAAAATGAAAGTATAGTTTTACTTTTCAAAGGACATAGGGAAAGCATGTTCCTCAAGCAGAAGAAAATTCCTACATGTGGCAGATATGCATCTGAAAGTGAATTATTCAGTTTGATTACTATAGGCATGAATTGCTAGTTGCTGACAAGAGCTGTCTAGAACAGATCTGGGCGTTTTATGGCGCACAAGCACATCCGGTTTGCAGATGGTCCCAGTCTGATCCATGGTGGTGATGGGGCCGTGGTGGTGGTGCAGGGACATGGTGGTAGGGATGGGGGCAGCAGCCCTTCACAACAATTCTACCTTCTCATGTAACCCCTGGGTGAAATTAATTGCCTGCCCCTGGTCTGGAGTCACGACTTATATGCAGCACACTTTGAAATCAGAACTGAATAAAATGTAGAATTTATCTCCCCTTATCTACAGGGAACATCTTTCTGGAGAGTCAAAATTCCAACAAAAGCTTGCAGAAATGAGTAAGTTTTTGTACAGCATGAGAATAATTATAAATTACTACTGGGGATAATTCAGGTGGTCTTATGCAACAATGGGCAAGTTCCTCACTGGTGCCATGTATTTACTGGCCTTTGAGGGTAGCGGTTCCCAAGCTCATAAAGCAACATGCTATAATCCAACAAGGTGAGCTAGTCACTATTTAAATACCTCATATAAAAGGAATCTCCATGCATCTAAAGTACCATTTGGATTCTAATCAACCTTCAATATCAACTGACCTGCTCTTTAGCTTCCCAGCGCTTTTATTTTTCCTCTTCCCCAGGAAATCCCTCAACCTTGGTTTTTCCCACCCCAAAATAATCTCCATTTTGGTCTGTGTCCAAACGAGAAGAACTCCATTTCACTCCATATCTTGGCCATTTTTCAGATCATGCATGAACAATTTTATGAATCCCTAACTGCTACACTGAAGTCAACCAGTAATACTTATAATGAGATTTCATATTTTTGAAATAGTTTCAAATGTTATTTTGCATTTTCTTTAATTATACATTATTGTAATCTGCTGAAAGAACAATATCAAAATCCCCAAGATGTAATGAAAATCTAGGTGCCTGCATTGCATGAGGATTGTTTTTCATTTACAGATCTGAGATTAGCTGCTTGCATGTCTTCGGCTTTATTTTAGCAAGCGCCTTACTTATCACAGTTTATGCTAACATATTTAAAAAGACTGTTTTTTGTTTCTCTAGCTTCAACTCGGACTAGAATACAAAACCAGAAACTGAATGATGGTGCTGAAGTTTCAGACACTGTACAGAAGTGAACTGCTCTTGAGACCCAGGATCTGCACTGTAGCTTTGATTTCTACTACATTGTTTTGCATATACTGTGTAGCTAATTTAATTTAGTTGAATTTCATGTGTTTCAGTGTTTTATGCTATGATATAGCATATGTACTATTCACTTAAGTGTTAATTTATACATATTAGTTTTTAGTAAAATTGATTTCCCAGTGCATTGTAGTTCAATTATATTACCTTTTCAGTTTTTATTGAACTACTTTGTTTTAGATATTCATGTTCAATATACAAAATGCACTGGTATTTTATTAAGAATTGTCATTTAATGTTAGACTTGATGCACTATTTATGTTTTAGGCCCCCCTCCAAAGAACACCCTACACTATATCAAAGAACTGCCTGCAGGACAGAGTTCTAGAATAATTTATACGATTGGATTGTGAGGTATAGTCACGAGTTCTGGATGGCCCCCACTCCCCTGGACAGTGCACTTAAATATGGTGGTCTAGTTCCAATACACTAGATACCTCTATTAAATCATATACCTTGCTAACATTATCTTTTTTTTCCATCTTAAAACTTATACACAAATTAGAAAATTTGGCAGCCTGGTTGAATTTTATTATTTTATTTCAACAAACCACAAATGACTGTGCAACAAAACACACTGCACATTCTTATCTGTCTCATGATCAGAGTAGTGTAATTCTGTAGCTATCACTTTAGTCTGTTAGTTTTGTAATAATCAGTAGTCAGATTGCAAACTCAATATAGACCATGAAAATAAAGTTCTGAAATTTTATTAACAGTAACTATTAAGAGTTGGCTAACCTAAACTATCATAACTATGTATTTTGACAAATTGAGCATAGAAATATTCTGTATTCTAATAAACATTACAGATTAATAAAATAATTTTAAAAATAAGAATGAGAATTGTTAATAATATACAATGAAAATTATATTTAATATCTTTTATCCTGAAGTTGTGAATATAATTTAGTTTATTGGCTTGCTAGCTATAATTCAGTAAACATGAAATAGAAAACAACCAAACTTTCAGAAAGTCTTCCTCCTGGCCATCAGTCCCAGTTTGGAAATTGTTAAACTAATCAATTAAAAACTAGGAAAGCCTCCAACAATGACCTAATACCTGCCAAATTGTTATAAAAAGATTGATTGGTGAGTTCAATCTAGTTCTTTATTCAAACATCAATAATGCATTTCAAATACCTGAAGGCTGAAACTGTTCTTTTACCCTCCTACTTTTCAAGGAAGGCAACTGTATGAACCAGCCTAATTATTACCCAGTTATCTTTCTAAGCATTCCAGTAAACTAAATGGACACTTTCTCTTTTGCAAGGTTGGTTTGGCTGGGACGAGAAATTTCTAATTTTTTTAATATTTGTGGCCTGCCTTTTAATTTTCCAAAGCTAATATTCCTATTCATAGGCTAGCAACTTCAGCTGTTGGTAAGAAAAACTGTTGCTTTCATCTTGGGAAACTTGCAAGATACTGTAGCTACTGTTTGCAGATAGGAAGCATGAAAGATTTTTTACCCCTGAAGCATGGAAGATTATTCAAAGATATTTAAAGTAGTTTAGCTGTGTCAAAATTTAATTACTTAGCTTTTAGTGAAAGCTACTATTTTGGCATTTCCTTAATTTCTAAGATCAGTTGTCACGGTAGGGAGACAGAATGCATAATGCTCTTTTTAAATTAGGTTTATGAGGAAATTATCATGACATCAGAAATACAAGTAATTGTAATGAAACCATCTTCACTAGGCAAGGGTTTTACTTCAGTTTTTAAATGCTCCAACTCGGCTGGCTTTGCTTATGAAGTTCTTCATGAGGTCATGGTCCATTTCTGCAAAACCTGGAGACTGAGTAACGACAGTCAGGTGGTTGATGCAAAACCGGAAGCAAAATTCCTCTAGCTCCTAGAAATGGAGTGTTTACATATTAAAATACACAACTAATGTGTGATATTGTTCCACATTATCATAGGTGGCAGACCAGGGCTGAAAAAAAAAAATGACAACCCTAAAATGGGAAAAGAAATCTGGGAACAGAAACAACCATTCCATTAATTAAAAATCATCATAGTGTTGCATTTCATAGCTAACAAGTGCCAATTTCCCACTTGTGAACATTTTCCTCTGGGGGGGGGAAAGAAAATTAAATGGAGTGAGAGTAACGTTCATATAAATAACTCCTCAAAACTATTTCTACAAACCTACAAAATATGAAATAAGTAAGAAACCATGATAAATAAAGTACCAAATCATACTCTCCTCCCCAATCAGTGAAGAGCAGATTCCTGTTTCTCCATCACAATGAAATAATCCAATAGGCTTCCAATTAAACTGTTTTCCTAAGCTCTAATTTACACCTCTTTGTCTTGGGTCCTCCCCACTCTACATTTTTCCACATCTTCCTTAAATGTAGTTGGGTCACACTAACTAAATCCAGAGATCTAAAACAAATAGCAATTGACCGTCAGGACTGAAAAAAAAGTCTTGGATGAGAAGCAAAACATTTTCAAGGGAAAAAACCAAGAAAGTCTAGTTACCTTTTGGAAAAACACCTTTGAGACAACTATGACCTAGGTCTGTGATGGTGAACCTACGGCACGCATGCTGGAAGTGGCATGCAGACCCATCTTTGCAGGCACATGAGCTATTGCCCCAGTTCAGTTCCACTGTGCATGCGCGCACGCCTCCCACCAGACAGCTAATTTTGGGGGTATCTGCTGCGCATGTGCAGAAGGTGGGGCACGTGGGAAACCCACGCATGTGTAAGGGGAGGGAGAGCGCAGGGATTTGCGCATGCATTGCATTATGGGTGCACTGCACACAACAGCAAAAGGGTTAGCCATCACTGACCTAGGTGATTGAGAATTTAAGAAGCTAGTTTCACTTAGTTCAGAATATTTCCTTTATTCACCTCTTTTATAGAGTTCTCTAGATGTTTCATGCAGCCAAATATATCCTTCCCAATAAGTTGTGAAATTGGCCTGATATCTTGAAAACTACAAAAATTGTGATTTTTTAACAGAAAATTCTTAGCATTTGCACAATGGTTTCATTTCTTCAAAATGCTTCACATACAAAAACTGCTTCTAATTTTTACCAGACCCCATAAGGTAGGCCAAGCGCCGTATTCCAACAGGGTGGCTTCCTTGACTAACACTACCCAATGTGTTAATTGCACAGGCAAATTCATACTCATAGCTTAATGCACAACAAAAAACCCAGTCAGTAGCAACTGAGTAAAGAACATTTTCCATACCTTTGCCTCATACTTGACTGCAGTTGATAGAAGAGCAATTGCATTCTCTTCAGAAATGCCTTGCTTAATTGTTTGTTGGCAAAGCTTCTTTAGTCGGTTGTCTCTATAGAAGCTTGCCAAGTCTAACAGGCCTGCCAAAAGAGGGGTGGGGGGAGAGAAATCAAGTCTATATACAGGCTAGAAGGAACCTTTAGTAACACGTAACTATAAAATACTTCTGGAATAAAAATGTTGTTAGTAATGTGAAAAGCCAGTGTTTTTAAACATAGGTATCTAAATTTAATATGCGCTCTGAATGATGACTGTTGATAGCAGTTCAATGCTCAAATGATGACAATCCAGAAATGTGTGTGTGGTGGTGGTGGGGGGGGAGTGAAGCAGCAAAGCAAGAGAACATTACATCAGTGTGTGTTCAATCATTATTGCCTAAATTGATCATTGTACATTTACAAGCTTAGACAGATTTGAACAACAGATTAGATGGGGCACCATTTAAGTCTCAGCTCAAAAAGGGACAGAATGAGTCAAGAGTTGGAATTGTTTATAATTAATGGCTTAAATATAACACAAAATAAGAATCTGCACTACTATTCTGGGTCTATAACAAAGCAAAAACAAATCCCTGTTATCCAGACAAGGAAAGGCAGAAGCAGTAGTAGCAAAGAAAACTGAAGCGGGTGGGCAAAGAAAAATGGGTGGGGAAGGAGTAGAGATTTCAGTTGGAGCCTTGATAGAATATTAGCTAGGCAACCTTGTTCAAGGAGTTCTCGGGGGGCGGGGGAGAGCAGAACCCTCTAAAACGCAAAATAGCTTTCTTCAGATAATGGGATTTTTGCCCAAATCAGAGTAATACAAGTGCAGTAATTAATTAGATGATGGGGGAGGAGACATATTTGTTAACTGGTTTTATTTTAACAAAGGGGACCAACAACAAATGTTATAACTGACTAGGGAATTCTCCTTAAGTCAACCCACACCAGGAGGCTCCTGGGGGTGGGGGTGGGGGGGACATGGCAAAGATTCCAAAGATTCCAAGGGAGACAGCCCCAATCTCCTCCTTCCTAGGCTCCAATGGGGCTAGGACATGACATTTCCTGCCATTTGAACCAAGCTGAGCTACATGTTACATCCCCGGAAGATCCTAACCAGCCAGAGCTGATATAGATTTAACGCAGAGGTGGCACCCCAAGAATCCCGTCCACTTCCTGAAGAATAATTGGATGGAACTCTACCTAGAAATCTGGAGAAGCCTGTACACCAGTTATTTCAAAATCAGCACTGCTGGAGTTCAACTCCCAAAAGATCCAAATGATCCATCAGATTCTGAGCATGAATCCTAATTCTCCATGACCTCTCAGAGCTTTTTGATATTAGCAATCATGGTATATCCTTCTGGGTTGTCTGAAGGGGCTGGGACCAGAAGGCATTCATCTTCAGTGGGTCTTTTGCTTCTTCCATGGCTGATTCCAGGTGTTAGGTGAACACGAAAAGATGTAGCCCCCATCCTCTGTGATGTGGTGTGCCACAGGACCTGACTCTTTCCACTCCATTTAACGTCTACATGAGCTGAGTGATCTGTCAGCTCAGGGTTAAGCTTGGAACCTCTTCATCGGTAGACCTTCAGTTGTACATTTCTGCCCTGGGCCACCCAAAGCACTTTACTTATGCCTGGAGATTGCGTGGATGTGGACGGGGAGGAATCAGCTTCAACTTTGGCTCAAACCTGACAAGGCTGCTGTTTTAAGTCCCCCCACCTCACCTCATCTGCCTTTCCCCCCCTGGAATGGCTCCTTTGCCTTTTGAGTTAAAGAGACCATCACAATCAGAGGGAGATTCTGTCTTTTTTTTTTTTGTACTAAGCATCTGGAAAAGTTGAAATCTACTTCAAGAATTCAGCAGATGTATGAGGGCATCTGCTCTCTCCCTTCCTTCACAAATAATAGAAATGGGAAAGAAAATTCTTCCTCATTCTGCCTTCTTTCACTGCCAACTTAACAGTGATTTTAGATTAGATTAGATTAGATTCAACTTAATTGTCATTGCCATGGATACAGGCAACGAAATGCAGTTAGCATCCAACCAGAAGTGCAAAACAACAGTAAAATATAAATATATGTATGCAAATATGCAAGGCATCTATGAATATGTCAATGGAAAACACAACAAAATGTATGTACACAAGCACACAAGGATAAATGTGACTGCACATATATGAACATATACAACTGTACAAAATGTTTATGGACACATTGAATATAAGTACAAATGCACAGAGAATTATACAAAATACATCATATATTCATATGTTATCAAGGGAAGCATTTCCCAATTAAATGGAAAGACAGTTCAACATAGGAGGTAGTACTCCACCATCTGGAAATGCAGAATTATATCTTGTGTTCTGTGCTCTAGAATTTTTTTTTTTTTAAATATAAAATTTTCTAACTTACAATTCTTACAGCAACAAAAAACTCCCAAGACAGATTCCAGCAGAAATATTTTCAAAATATTTCTCCACAAAAATGTTAAAATGATTTTAAGGAAAACTAATATATTAGTTAAACTGGCCTTTTTGACACCTATGACAGCTTCATGGGAACGAGCTGTTTCTAGTTTAACTTTTCTTATTCGGTGTCTTGTCTGCCTAGCAATTGTGTTTTGGTAAAATCTCAATTTAACAGACTAATTGAGTGACAAGATGTCTGCTATTGAGGAAAATTTGATGAGTCCAAGAGTGATGATTTACATAATTTGCATAATGATGTAAATTCATTTCTGAATTCTATTTGCATCATTTCTGCCATAATTTGTTCTACTCCAGTTAAAATCTACTACATTGATGTCTGGTAAAATAAAATTTCACTGAATTACTTATACAAAGAATAGCTAAGTAGTCTGCATTTTATTTGCTCCTGTACTGTTTCTTTTGTGGAAGGTGAATTTTTTTCATAGTTCTACTGGGAAATATGGGTTTTTCCTATACAAAGGTAAACTGATATTATCTTGGATAATATCAGCTTACCTTCAATGAAAGTAACAGTAGAAAAGTTTAATTTTAATGTAGCACCCCTGCCTGAATTTCTTGCTGCTGAAGCAATTGCTTTTTCCAAAGTGAGACAGAAGAGAGAAAAGGCTGTAATGAATACTTTCAATTCTACGTACTCACCAAACTATTCACAGTCAAATAGCTTTAGAGCCAACAGAGATGACTGAACTCCTAACAATGCTGTTACTATTTATTAAAACAAAGGGTGTAAAAAGGACAACTAGGCTGCTTAAATCTTTCTTAAAACCATTCTCATAATTATTCATATAAACATTAAATTTTGAAAGCAAAATACTTTTAATTACTAATTTCAAACATCTGCAGGTGTCTATATTCTGGCCTACTGGGAAAGTCAGGTGGTTGTATATAGAATTCAGAAATATAATGCTTTTTCTTATAACTTATTGCACAGCTTGTTATACCAGTCTGTTTATTTTCCTTCTTCACTAACAAAATGCTTTAATGCTACAAGATGTGAAAAATATATGCAGACTCATTTCATGCTCTAAGTTTGCACAATTCAGTATATTCAAGAGTTAATAGTAATATGTTAATATCATGAAAATATATATTAACACCTTAGCTTTAAAAATTAATTTAAGCTCTTTTGTTCCAATTACCTATGGCATCTTCAGGAGGGAGACTGATGTTATCCGTATAAAGATATTCCAAAAATGCTCGGTAAACAGGATATGAGAATTCACTTATTTCTATGATTTCCTCATTACCATTGTTCAGAATTGAATGAAAATGTTCACACCTGGGCACAAAATGGAAACAGTTATAACATCAGCACCAGTGGTGGGATTCAATTTTTTTTTACTACCGGTTCTGTAGGCGTGGCAGGGAAAGGATACTGTAAACTCTCCAGTCAGAGGTGGTATTTGCCGGTTCTCCGAACTACTCAAAATTTCTGCTACCAGTTCTCTAGAACTGGTCAGAACCTGCTAAATACCACCTCTGATCAGCACCAACAAACAACTTGATTCCTACCATGTAACAGAAAACCTGAAAGATTAACATGAAAATGATATGAGAAAAATGAACCCATGCAAACGTAACCTGTATCAAAGAGGGACTGAATCATTCCTGTTCCATATTAATTGTGGAATTGACAGCCTTTTGGCCTTCCTGCTACGCTAAACTGGCTTTGAATTATATACCTTGTAGAGACTTATCTCCATTTTTGACAATGTAATAGTCAGCACAGTATTTTGCTGATCATGAAGCTGCTTATTCATGCATGGTAGATTATTCACTTAATGAAAAACACATCAAACTCCAGCTGAATAGAGGGATAAGATACATATTGGGGACCTAGAAAGAGAAGGTCTCTCACTTGAAGACATACGTATATAAGTTGAAGATAAAGACATAATAAGCACAAAGGTAATTTTCAAATTTTTAAATTGCCTCTTCTCCTTGGAATCTTACTAAGCTATTTATTTTAAGCTGCTTGTAGAAAAGTCTGCGCCTCTGTACTTTGAATTTTCTCAACAGTACCTTACTAATGCAAAGCCACATCTCCACGTATGTGGCTGCCTATCATGGCCCTTTATAATTTACAAGTATTTTCAAATTGTAACTGCATCATTATTTTAAAAAGTGATATGTTTACTGGAATTATACATCAGTTCAATGGCTTTCATAAGTCTATGCAAAGATGCCAACTGTTATTATAGAAAGCTATGAAAAACTCCTATTAGTAATGAAATTTAGTATCACAGATACGTATTTTGATACTACTGGAAAAATTTTCTGAATATGGGCAAAAAGGCCAGGGAAGATAATGAAAATATCTGAGAAGATTGATAATTTCATACCTAATTTTGAGGAGCACTTTATGAACATAAATGTATTTTCCATCAACTTGAAACCTCAAATCAGCATTATCTGGGTTGTCAAATTCCTTCTTTATTGACTGAGCTATTGTTAAGTGATCATCAGGATCTGAAACAAAAATATTGCAAATATTTTTCAGTAATACTTTCTAGTTCAATCTCTTTCATAGTACATAAAAACAAGAAAATAATGGAAATCAAACAACAAACTGCATTTTTCATTACAAAAATAAAATCGCTACAGAACCTGGATATAAACAAAGCAAAAGGAGAAGTGGATATTGTTGTTACATTCTTCTCTACAGAATATATTTGAATTTATGGGATCAGAATCATTCAGGAATAATGAGCAAATGATTCACTCTTTGACAGAGTGAATTAAATTAGTGGACCAGTGAAATGCTTTAGACATAATATGCTTGGATTTCAGTAAGAAATTGGACAAAGTAGACCACAAGCTATTTCCATTTTTTATTTTTTTTATTTTAAAAAAGTTATTAAAATTATTTATGAAAGATATTTCAGTACCCCAAATGATACAAGTCTGGGGGGTTGACAGAATAATTCCAAAAAGCAATCTCTTAAATATAGTGATTCATAACAATAAGCCAATCTGGAAGAAGTATATAAACTACAATCCATCTACGATCCATTCCAGTGAGGTTTCAGGCTGGATCATAGCATCGAGATGACTTTGGTCCCACTGGTGGATGACCTTTGCTTGGCTCAGGGTGGGGCAATACATCTACTCTAGCCTTCTTTGACCTCTCACTTGCCTTTGATTTCATTGAGTATGTAATTCTTCTGGACCACCTTAGGACTATAGGGGTGGAGGAACCTTTTTGCAGTGGTTCTCCTCTTCAGTATGGTGGGTTCCAGTTGATGTTTGTTCAGGTGATAAGTCTAGGCCCTGTTCCAGGGTGCTTCAAGAATCACTTTCTCTGCACTCTTCTTTTCTTTAAGTATATTTATTTTGTTTTATCATAAAACTTACTTCTTGGTAAGCTAAAAAAAATGTTCGATAGACAGCATCACCACCAGATGGATTTATAACTAGCTAACAAAGTGAAGTAAGCAGTGGGGTATCACAAGGTTTTGTCTTAGGCCCAGGATTCTTCAATATCCTCATAAATAATTTAGATGAGGGAGTAGAAGGAGAACTCATCAAATTTGAAGACACTAAACTGGCTCCAAAACCATAACCCAACGTTCTTATTTTTCTCAGGACTTGATATTACTACCAGAAAGACCACTGCTTTTATTCTATTGATCTGGATAGTCACAGAAATATATTTTATGATCATTGTCTTCTTCTCTAGGATTTTTTTTTTAATTTCTCCAATACAATTTTCTATTCTTTAGTTTTGTGTCTTGATATCCTTACCTCTTTGCTGTTCACTTCAGAACCTTAAAAACTATGTCTCCAAGGAAAAGTAATGTAAAAGAATTTCTCTAATTTTAGGTGCCTTGACTTGAAATGAAGTAATGGGATGAGGGGAGGGGAAGAACTATAATATCTCCTCCTAAAGACATTAACCTTGTCTTTATTAGTGATGCAACTTCTGCTTACAATGGCTTATCTCAGGTCTCTTGTCCCCAGGATGCAAAACACTTGCACAGCTTGAGGTGGAGGAAGATATATTGAACAAGCTCATGTCTGGGAAGTAAGTTTTCCAAGAAAGCTGGAAGCCATACATGGATATTGATTGGCTCAAAGGACAAGTGTACTTTAGCAAACTAAACAGTGAAACTGCATATATTCCACAGCAAAAAGCTGTTAAAACGAGTACTGTGTATTTGACTCTATGTCAACTCAGGCCAAATCATTAGTTTTATATAGGAGGACAAAGAAGATAATTAAAACAAGTGGTAAAATATCTGCATAAACTTCCAGTAGTACAGGTTGTTGCATGTAACTGATAAAAGTCCATTTACTTCTTAAAATTATTTCTTCAAAGACTCTTCTATGGACTTTAAATGTCAAAGACCTTTGCCCCTCAAATAAATGTATGTAAGTATCTATTTCTCTCACACTCTCTCTTTCTCTCATGTACTCACTCACTCACCCACCCATTTGGTGAACTTTAAAAATGTGCTTTCTACCAAGGTTGTGCAGGTCTTCTCACATGAATTTGGTTCAGAAGTTTCTACTCAATTTACAAAAGTAAACCAATGTGGCTCTAAGCAAAACAGGTAAAAGCGTCCTTAAAAGAGTTTTTCATCGCATTTTCTATTCTCTGCCTGCTGGCATGAAATTTCCTAAAATAATACGAACCAAAAACTTCTAACTCTAGCCCTAATCCACATAAAGCCATTTGGTTTCAGAAAAAAACTATCATGTAATCTGCAACTCTTACACTGCAAAAACATATGGCCTACACAACTCGATCAGGGCAAAACAATAGACGCAATCTACATAGACTTCTGTAAAGCCTTTGATTCAGTGGCACACAACAAACTACTCCTAAAACTAAAATCTGATGGAATCTTTGGACACCTGCATAACTGGATAGAAGCATTACTGTCAAACAGACAACAAATGGTCAAAATTAGGAGTGTCCTATCAAATTCTGTACCTGTCAACAGTGGTGTCCCCCAAGGCAGTGTTCTAGGACCAACTCTCTTCATACTCTACATAAATGACCTCTGTGATCATATTAAGAGCAACTGCATTCTCTTCACTGATGATATAAAGCTATTCAACACCACAGACAATACTACTACCCTTCAAAAAGACCTCGACTATGTATCAGAATGGTCAAATGAATGGCAACTTCAAATCTCAACAAATAAATGCTCTGTCTCACATATTGGCAAAAAAAATCAGAAAATAAAATACAGGCTGAATAGTCAAGACCTTGTTGATGATCCAAACTCTGTAAAGGACCTTGGAGGTCTCATCTCTAATGATCTAAGTGCTAGAGCCCATTGTAACTACATAGCCAAAAAGGCATTAAGAGTTGTTAACCTAATCCTGCGTAGCTTTTTCCTCTGGTAATATCACACTACTAACGAGCATACAAAACATTTGCTAGACCAATACTTGAATACAGCTCATCAGTCTGGAACCCGCATTACATATCTAATATTAACACAGTTGAGAAAGTCCAGAAATATTTCACAAGAAGAGTTCTCCACTCCTCTACTCATTGCAGAATACCTTATGCCACCAGACTTGAAATTCTAGACACAGAAAACCTAGAACTACGCCACCTTCGGTCCGATCTAAATATACTATATAAAATCATACATTGCAATGACTTACCTGTCAATGAATACTTCAGCTTCAACCATAATAGTACAAGAGCACACAATAGATACAAACTCAAGGTTAACCGCACCAAACTTGATTGCAGGAAATACGACTTCAGCAACAGAGTGGTCAATGTCTGGAATACTCTACCTGAGTCTGTGGTTTCTTCCCCAAACCCCAAAAACTTTAACCTTGGACTGTCTACTATTGACCTCACCCCTTTCCTTAGAGGTCTGTAGAGGTCGTGCATAATACTTTTCAATTGGAAATTTCAGATAATGTTTCTTTCAAATTCCATGTAAAGATTAAAGCTTCTGGAGAAACAACAAAAAGAGTGGTATTTTACTCTTGCTAACTAACTTTTTGACTCCCAATGCATTTGATTTTTACTTTTACATCTTCTGCAGCAGGGGTCCCCAACCTCAGGGCCATGCACCAGTCTGTAGCCCACTGTGAACTGGGCACACAAGTAGCGAATGAGCGTGCAAAGGTTCATTTGCGCATGTGTCCGCCAAACCATTCCTTCTCTCTCCCCTGTGCTGCGCTACTGCTGCTGCCTGTCAATGGAGCCAGAAAGGTTGGGGACCACTGCTACAGAATACCAGACTGAGAGAAATGTCAAAAGTCCAGAATGGGTGGTTGCTCCTTACTGTTATTATAGCCCACACTCAACGAAGCAGAAAAATGGGGAACATACAAAGGAGTTGTATTTTTATCCTAGGATGCACTATTGATAGCCAAAAAGACTGAGTTTTTCCTCCAAATCATGATTCAAATTCTTTTCAAGGGCTCCACTTAAAATATGGTAATTTATACATCTTCAAGATCTAATTCAGATTCAGGAATGCAAGCATTTAAAAAAGTTAATTTGAAGCTCACCTACTGAAAGGAGACGCCAAGTCACTGCAGGAGTAGCAAAACAAGCAAACACATCATCAGTGCAACCGAAGTGGGTGAGGAATGGAAGAATGACGGACTGTCCCCGGCACTGACCCCACATATACACATCACCACCCTGGGTTTTAGCAGCAGAGGTGTGAGTAGAGTGACATGCTGCAATCTCTAGAATTCTGAATTTGAAAAACAAAAAATAAAAAATGCAGAACTATAAGGCGAACATTCACAGCCAGGTTACCTGTGGAACCATCTTAGATCAGCCTGCCCCACCTAGTCAGGAAGGGAAGGCAGGTTATGGATCCTATCAATTAAAGAATTCCAACTGGTAGAGTCCAAGAAGAGAGCCTTCTCACCCAAGAGGTGAGGTGGGTCCTCATTCTTCTGGCCTTTCAGAAGAGTTTGAAGACCTGGCTCACATAAAGCTCACAGAAGAACACACAATTTTGAGGTTGGTTACATCTTAAAGACCGTCTCCCCACTTTCTGAACTTTAATAATTTCAATGTTGTTTTAACTCCCTCCTTTTTACTGAAATATTATATATTACTGAAATATTATATTCATTATTTAAAATAAGAAGGCACATTTTGTTTTTATTTCCAAAGTTATCTATATTGATCTATTGCAACAAACATCACCAACTGGCATCTTAAAAAATAATAAATTTATTATGGCAAAAAGATTTTTGGATTACAATCCACAGATACATGTAGAATCTTGTACTGTCATAATTTCAAAAGTTAAGAATTAAAAACAAAGCATGAAAGAAATAATGACTTTCCTTGAGAATTTCAGAGCTACTCAACCAGCATTGCAAATTGATTACCATGAGAAAAACATTGAACTGAATTTTAGATCATTCTTGAGAATGTTATGCGGTGTTATTGCCCAAATTCAGATGCCATATCTGAGTCTATGTTGAGAATTATCTGAAATAGTAAGAAGCAGTATTATGGCAGAAAAAGACTATTTTGGTGAGTTGTCAGGTATCCCTCTGTAATTGACCAGGGAAGGAAGCTCTGATGATACATACATAATACAGATGACAGGTTTTAAATATATATTAAGCATAAGCATTCTACGAGTACAAGTGGTTGTTGGTTAATGATCACTTGTTCAGCAACCATTTGAATTTACAATGGTGCTGAAATAGTAAAACAGGTAGTCCTTGATTTATTTATTTAATGGTGGCTTAAGGTTATTACAGCCTCGAAAAAGGGGACTTCTTTTGCTGTATATGTTTAATTTGTGGTTCCCCTTTAACAACCAACATTTTTTGTGAGCAGTATAATGACTGGGTTTTATTTTTCACACAATGCTAACAGTAATAATACAATTACACATACAGAGTTTTTATCTTCCAACTTCTAAACTTGATATGCTCATTATAATATATTCTTTTATGTATCAATATATATTATACTATTTTCCCAATTTGTACTTATTTCTTTATTTTTCTCGTTTGTTGAGGTTCTCCTATATTCACCTCATTATCTTTAAACAATACTCTTTTCTCTTTATTTTTTATCACTTTCTCCAAAAATATATGTAAACATCAATAACATTTCTTCCTACAATACTACTTATTAACTCCTGTTAACAGGAGTTGAGTTACTAATGTTTTAATATTATAAATATCCCTCAGTGTTCCACATTTTCAATATCTCAATTTTCTATAAACACCAATAAAACCAATTGTTAATAAGATTTAATCAGTCCCCAGATTATATCTCTAAACCCCCTGTATTTATAGTCCTTGAAAACTATATATTCCAGTATATTTTTTTGCACTGTTAATCATAATACAGTCAGTGGTGCTATTCTTCCGGTTCGGTGTACCAGTAGCGCCGAAGGTCAGCTGAGACTGAACTGGTTCTCTCTGGCAAACTGCTGTTGGGCCCACCTGTTGGGCTCCCATACTGACCTTTATTCCCTGCTTTTGAAGTGCAACTGCTTTGCACAGCACGTGTCACGTGCCACGTGTCAGCTGTTGAAGCTACAGGGAGAGAGTGCAGGATTGCAAGAGGCAGGAAAGCTTCTGCACGTGCGCAAAGTGTGCGTCTGGTGTGCATGCAAAGTGTGTATGCATGCGTGCAAAGCACGCCCACCAAGCCACACCCACCGAACCGGTGGTAAACTACTTTGAAACCCACCACTGATTTAGATATACCCAATCCTATTCCACCTCCTAATCTTAATATATTTATGGTTATAATAAATTCTATTATATATCTATATATGTGCTACTATTTTCCCAATTTAAACTTTCCCCTTATTTCTATTGGTTTTTAATATAATTACTATATTGCAGGGTATTATGTCTCTATCCATAATCTCAGTCTTTTTAGAATTTCATATTTTTTTAATTTTGGGGGTGATTCTTTTATATTTCTCTCTTGGAATCCTATATGTCTTTCTAACTGTTGTAGTTGAGCAATGGGAGGCTAGACCAGGGCTTGGATGCAACAAGACTTTATTGGAACAATAAAGGACTGAACGTGTTAGCCCTGCCTGGAGCAGGCTTCCAGCGATCAGCGGCTGGCCGGACCTTGCAGCTGGCTTTTATAGCCGGCTGTCGAGGGAGGCCAGCCAATGAGGGGCAGCAAACGCCCCCGCAGCATGAACGGACCTGGGTGGGGACTTTGGCAAGTTCCAGGGACATAACACTAACATTTTTGCACAAACTAATTGTTCCCTCTGCCTTACCATTTATCTCCTTCTGTTGCATCTTTTATGTATCCATCCATAAACCTTTCATTATTTTTGGAAAATCTTCCTTTTTTCCCTCTATTCTATTGCAAGCTTTTAAGGAAGTATCTATTTGATTTTTAATATTTATTGTTGCTGTCTTTTGAGTGTTTTTAATCTGCTTGTAACTTATTTTTATCTTCTTGTAGTATATTTTGCTTTGTTTCCTCCACCACTACTTCTAATTTCTCATCTGTCTTCTGTTTATTATATTCATCTTTTCCCACCATTTTTTGAGGGCCTTCTACTTTCACATCTTTATCTTTAAATATTCCCATCATTTTCTTATAATTCTTTGTTTCCAGTTCTAACATTTCCTCATAGAACTTTATTGTCTCCTGCTGGGTCATTTTGTACCAAGTTAATATACCTCTAATGTACACTACATAAACATGAATAAATAAATAAATAAATAAGTAAGTAATCATATACCCATATATATTATATGACCAGTGAAACAACACAGTCTAGTTCAGTGGTCACCAACTGGTGGTCTGTGGATCACTGGTGGTCCACAAGTAAATTTTGGTGGTCCACAGAAAAATTATTTACATTTTTTATATTGCACTAAATCAGGGGTCCTCAAACTATAACCCCCGGGTTGGATACATTCAATTAATGTTTGTGTTGCTGCAGAGTGTTTCCCCCTTTGGGGTCTTTTTGTGCGGGTCGGAGGGAGGCAGAAATTGGGATCTGCTTTAGCCTCCTGGTGTGGAACTTTGGGCGAAGGCTGAAGGGCCTCATTCCAGTGGGACTGCATCATGGCCTGGAACTGGCTGACCATCTCAGCCTGCTGAGCCCCCAGGCACTGGTACCTGGCCTTGCACTCCCGCAAGTCTTCCCTCTGTTTGGAAAGCCTATGCTCCTAGTCCTCAGTGAGGTGCTTCTGCTGAGCCTCCTTCTCAGTCAGATCCAATTTGAACTGAGCCAGCTGTTTTGCCCACTCTTTTTCATGGTGGTTGCTTAGCTCCAAGAACTGCTTCCTGTGGGGCCATAAAGAGCCGGGGGGGGGGGGGGGGGCGAAGAGGCTCTGGGAGGGGAGGGACAAGTAGAGGTTGGTGAGGCGCCCCTTCAATGTGACTGACATCGAGTTGGCCACACCACCTAGTCACAGGACCAACTAGCCACGCCCACCCGGTCATTAGGCAAATCATATTAGTGGGATTTAAAATTATGAATTTAGTGGTCCCTGAGGGCCAAAAGGTTGATGACTCATGGTCTAGTTCATACGTGTACATGTACATGATAAGAAAAATGAATCTTGTGAGTTTACCAAACCGATGGCATAGGGAACAAAGCTGTTACAGAATCTGGTAGTCCTGCTAGCAATACTTCAAAAACTAACTTTTGTTTAAACTTTTGTTTTTCAAGTTTTGGTTCAGAATGTATGATTCCATTCCTGATGTACAGGTAGTCCTCAACTTACATCATTAATGACCATTGAAAGTTACAATGGCACTGAAAAAAAGTGACTTATGACCATTTTTCACACTTATGACCATTGCAGCATCCTCGTGGTCACATGATTTACATTCAGATGCTTGACAACTGGTTGATATTAATGAGGGCTGCAGTGTCCTGGGGTCATGGGACCATCTTTTGTGACCTTTTGCCGAGCAAAATCAATGGGGAAATCAGGTTACTAATTTAACAAATGCAGTGATTCACTTAAAAAATGTGGCAAGGAAAGTCATAAAATGGGACAAAACTGACTTTTTGACAAAGTTCTCACTTAGCAATATAAATTATGCACTCAAATTGTGGTCATAAATAAGGACTACCTGTATTTTCTTTACTACTATTCGTACTTATTTTTGTCTTATTTTTATTTACAAATTGAGATAACTGTGTTTTGGATTGTATTTGTGGCATAAAAACATAGAATACACCTTGTATAAAAATGATTACTAATTCATGAGAATTGGTAATTGGTTCTGCAGACCAGTTGGGAAGCAAAGAAAACTAATAAACGTTAACACTGAATGGCAGTTTTTGTCTGCTAGAAGTACTTTTATATGATTGTAGCTTCCTTAAAATCAGACAATTCAGTAACAAGGATTATTACAGCCTAAAACTCATCCAATTGAGTCAAGATGAACAAAACTGTACCTGTCTTGATGTACTGTAACCAGCAGAGGGTACGTCTGGTTACTCCTATTGCCAGTTCCCAGCTGGCCATAAGAATTGGCTCCCCAAGCATAGACATAGCCTTCATCTGTTAACACTAGGGTATGTGCATAGCCACAGGCAATCTAGAAAAGAAAAAGAATTACATTCTTTTATTCAGAAATTATGTTGTTTTTGCTGATTCCTTGAAAAGATGGGGAAAAAACCTTCACATTTCTTTAATGTAAGCATTTTTTGGAAAACAAAATAAAAAATAAAGTATAGTTGATTTTTTTAAAAAATCAAAGATGCTCAGAAGAGCTGGGCCTAACTGTGAGGTACACAGAGCTCCTTGTCTCAAAAGCAGATGGGCAGATAATAAAACATGTAGGCTGATTCATTAACCCTACCTAAGAGAGATCAACCATCCTCCCTAACTCCAAAATAAACAAGCCAAACTTTGGCCATCTTCTTGCTGAATTACAGAGTGTGATATTCCCATCATATTGGGGAAGAGGTGCTAAAGAGGTGCCAGATAGGCAATATCCAGGCCAAGAATGAAATCAAGAATTATGAGGAAGAGTGGGAATTAGGAGAAAATTAATCTACTAAATATTTGTGTCAGCTTTGTTCTTTCTAGACTACCTATAGGCATAAGTTCTTGACTTACAACCACAACTGGGACTAGGACTTCCATTGTTAAGCAATGTGGTCATTATGTGAGTAATCATGTGGTTGTTCTCAATTCTATGATCTTTTTCACCAAGTCACTAAATGAATCACTATGTTATTACATGAATCCAGCTTCCTCCACTGACTCCATTGTTGGAAGCCAGCTGAGAAGGTTGAAATGATGATTTTGTACTCCAACATACTGCAACTGTTGTAAAAACACCAGTTGCCAAGTAGCTGAATAATGCGATTACATGACTGTGGGGATGTTGCAATGATTTTACATGTGAGCATGTTGTATGCAACTTCAGGTCCCACCTAAGCCATAAAAGCCAACTAGCTGACTTTGGGCTGGTCGCTCTCTCTCAGCACAACCCACCTCACAGGATTGTTGTTGTGGGGAAAAAGGAGGAGGAAGATATGTTTGGATATGTTTGCTGTCTTGAGTTATTTATAAAAATAATGAAGGTGAGAGACAAAATAAACAAATAAACAAACAAATAAACATTTTTGCTATAGTAGATCTGCAATGTAAAATTATGGATATATATTTATGAAAGAGAGCCATTTTGGCCTGGCGGTTAAGACAACAGGGTAAAAATAGGAAACTGAATTCTAGTCCTGCCTTAGGCACAAAGCCAGCTGGGTGACTTTGAGTTAGTCTTGCCTTCCAACTCTTTAAGATTCTTATTGCTACAAGCACTGGACATCTCATTAAGTTATTGACAGTATCACTTTGTTCACGGCAGCTATTTTCAATACATAAGAAGTCTAACTAAATTTTACTTATACTTTCTATTCATCTCAATATTTAAAATGGCTAGTACCAGTTAAACTATGAAATAGAGATGCAAAATATTAAAAAGTACAGATGAAAACTAATATTTAAATTATTTACAGTTGGCTATTCATTTGTAACTAGTGTTTTGAATGCACCAGAAATCCCAGTAAATTAGCAGTTAGGATCTGAAGATCCAGAAAACATACCCTTTGCACGTGGATGCCCTGTAAAGCTGCTATTCTGCATGGCGTCGGCTGATTGCCACCATTGCCTAGTCCAAGCTGACCATTACCATTATAACCCCAAACATAAACCTTAAAAGGGAGATAAATCTAGTCAGTATGTGGGAGTACATATAAAGCAAAAAAAAAAAGGAAAAAAGAAAAAAAGAAAGAATATACAGAATTCATTAAAACTGGTCTGTAAATTAATTTTATGTACGATTTTTCCCTATATATTTTACTCTTCGTTTATGTAAAACAGTAATAATATTATCCTCTATGGAGATATTAAAACACTTGAGATCAGGCTAACATTAAAACAACTTGTGGATGATAAACTGTCCCATGCTCAGGGAAATTTCAATTGATTCCAAGGTGGTAAACAGCTTGAACAGTCTTCTCTTCAAATACCCCCTTTCAGCACCAGCCATGCATTGGTGAAAATGGCAGCTTTATGCCATTTTGGAACTCGATTTTACTTAGCTAATGGTTTTTCTTGTTCTCCCTTCCCATTATCTCTTGGGTCCTTCATATAAGAGTGATGGGCCATGAGAATCTTAGAGAGAGGTGTCACTTCTCAACTACTCTTTTAAAAAAACACACACACAACGGAAGAACATAAAGGCAATCGTAGCATAACAAGATACATAAATGTATAAGGCAATAGCTGTTTAAAAGCTCCAGATAGCAAATTATCTTTGCCGGCTTTCCTAAGAATAGTCCATCCTTATAGGAGGCAGCCCAAATCTACAAACTACTTTGGTCTTCATGATGTTCAGAGGACAACATCTCATTAGAGGTTTGAGTCAGAAGAATAAAATTGCCACAACTGCTAGATCTCTTTTAAGTTTAAGAAAGTATTAAACTGAATGATGAATTAGTGGAATCTATCTTGAAACTAATTCAACATCTCTAACATCTGTATAAGTGAATTTAATAAACAATTTGCTACATTTTACACTGGTTGCAATCAAGCAAAGGCTAGCTGCCATACATTCAACAATTGAGACAGAAATCAGACAGACATGTAAGCAAGCGTTAGTTTTTCAAGAAGCACAGTGGAAAGATAAACCAAGACTACTCCAAACTATTTGTCCCAAGTACTCAATATGGTAAATAAAAACTGTAATATATCTATGTAATTTCCAGTCCACAACAACTTCTAGTTAAATATTCAGACTTTGATCTTCATTATTTCTACTGAATTATATCAAGATAAAATGCTAATACTATCTCAATCAAAACCATCTTTCCAATTTACTATACAGATTTAGCAACACAAAGTACATTCTCTTTATATTAATTTGTGGAAACTATAATGATAAGGTTGAAACTTCATAGCTACTAGCTAAAATCCAAAAAGATTCATGAAAGTTCAGGTACATGTCACAACCTGAAGGTCATTAGCCTACATTATATGACAAGGAGTAAAATAAGGGAGGGGAGGAGAGGTATTCTCCAAATGATTTAGATCAAGGCATCTGATTTATTCTGTATTCTGAGTCCTTGAATAACAATGACAATTAGGACTGCTGTTGCGATATTGTTGTAAAGTGTGACAGCAAACCAAGCAGTGCATCTTGTTATTGTAACCCAGGACAAGTGATTAAAGGGAAAGCAGAGGGAATATGGGGGTGCCATAGGAGGATGGAGAAGGCCCTGGGATACCTGGCACAGGTTGTGTGCGAGTCAGTGAGGGGAATATGCTAAGGTCTGGCATAAGCACAGGAAGGAGGTTGCGGTGTAACCTGCAAGGGAATAAAGGCGGTGCATTGAATGTATGTGTGGAAAGAAATGAGGGGAAGGAGGGTGCAGTGCATGTGTGAGCATGCAGAAAGGCCAGGAGGAATATCAGCAAACAGCCCTTGAAAGGCAAAAGGGCTGATGGATGTTTCAGTTCAGAAGCCAGTTTGGGCTCCATCATCTGAACTGTGAAAAACAACAACAAAAACAGAGATGATGGGAGAAAATACAACTAAAAGCATCCAGAAGGAAATGCAAGCTTATAACCACTCTTATTCTACATTAGATTTTTTTCTCAGCATATAGGTTTGACATATAATTCTTCTTAATTGGCTCCATTGACTAATAATTGAAGAGATAGGCACCATGAACAATTTAGCACCATGAACAATAAGGCTTCGTATATTAAAAAAAAAAGTCTGTAATACAGAACAATACCTTACCTCACCATTTTCTATCACAGCCATTGAGCACATCTGACCACAAGCAATGTTAATTGCTATCTTGTTTTGTAAGCAGCCAGTAACTCTTCGAGGAATAGGCTGATTGGCTGTTGAACCAGATCCAATTTGTCCTGAATTATTATAACCCCATGAATACACCTGCAAAAATAAACTTGTAACAGACTGGTACATCATTCTAGAAATATATTTGTTTTCATAAAAATAGCATTCTAATAAAAGAAAGAACAGAAAGCAAAATTAGCTAACTGATAGGGATTCAACTCCATGCAGAACTATTGTGTTTTGCGCATGGAATAAAACATGTCTTTTTTTGTGTGGACAGATTTATGTCAATACTTCTAGCACCTTTTTCTAAAATCAAAACTAGAAAACTATGTTATTGAGTTATCATGTCTTAAATTGCAAAAACAATATTGAAATAAAAATGCAAAAGTATTTACAATGGATGATTCAGGGACAAAAGTTCAAATATTTTTACCTACTATCAAAAATATTCAAGTACATAAAATTACTGCTGCTTACTGTAATTATCCATGTTTCACATTTGAAGTCAACAAGATGCTCAGCCTGTACCAGTGTGAATGCAGCATCTGCTTAAAACTCTTTAAACCAAAGGTATCTCTTCCCAAAACTGCATGGAGGTGCATTTATTTTCCAGTTCACATACTTCTTAACTCTGTATATCTGGTTTATGTGGTTAAGTCTATTTCTGACCTACATTTAAACCAAGGGTCTTCAAACGTGGCAAGTTTAAGACTTGTGGACTTCAACTCCCAGAATTCCTGAGCTAACATGACTGGAGGAGGAATTCTGGGAGTTGAAGTCCACAAGTCTTAAAGCTGTCAAGTTTGAAGACCCCTGGTTTAAACAGTCCACTTATGTTGATCCAATGGGGAAAAAAGACCTACAAAAAGTCTATCTGAAATGGAGTTGAAATGCAAAATAACAGAAGGGTAAGTGCCAATTCCATGAAGGAGAATGACAATCATTGTTCCAATAATTTGGTATAACTCTGAAGATGGAGATTTGAAAAATAGCATTAAGTCTCCTGAAGTAGGGTTACAATTTTACTTTCAACAGAAAACCAATGTATTTGTAGAATTATGATATGGAAGCAACTGAACTGGAACATATACAGTACAATGTTTTATATTTATTTAAGCTTGTACAGTACCTTCCTATATATTGTAAAGATAGTACAGCACAGTATGTTAAAAAAATACTTCCTTCCTGGTTACAGCTAAAAAATTAAGGACTTGTTCCAACAGGGTTATACCTTGTTCATATTTAGTAAACGGCCTATCAGCCTGGGAAAGACAATTTTAAATAGACTTTTGATATCTAAATTTATTCAAACGTGGGACAGAGCAAAAAAATTGGTTGCAATGATTATTTTTATCAGAAAGAGTAAAAATCATTGCTTAGATAATTAAGGACCACAAATATGACAGCATTAAGGAAAATGCTGACATTACTGACAAAATCAGCATCTTTAACCTCTTAGCCATTGTACCCCATCCTGTTAAAATTAATGATTTCTAATTTTAACACTGTGGGGGTACAATGGTTAAGCCGTTAAAGATGCTGATTTTGTCAGCTGGAAAACTGACAGTCTGGATTCGAGACCCAAGCACTGAGCTCTTACTTGCCCGAGGTCCTGCCCACCTAGCAGTTCAAAAGCATACAAATGTGAATAAATAGGTACCACTTCAGTGGGAAGGCAAGAGTGTTCCATGCCCCTTGGGATTTAGTCAAGCTGGCCACATGTCCACAAAAGCGTCTTTGGGCAAAGCTGGCTGTCAGCTAAAAAACAGAGATGAGTACTGCCCCCTTGAGTAGGACACCACTGGACAGGGGAAACATTTTACTTTTAACACTGAATTCTTGCTCCTTTAAATTTTTTTCCCCTGAAAATGGAAAAAAATGACCTGGTGATTTCTGGAGTTACCTGTTTAAAAAGGACTATATATGAGATAAGGAAATTACCATACGTTATTTTGAAAGGGAAAATGGAACCAAGTAAATCTAATTGGTGTAAAGATTGAAAGTAGCTTCTTTTTTCTTCACTTTCTATTATTTTCAACATGTTTTTCTTTTCTTTCTTTGTTTTTTCTTCATTTTTCACATCTTTTAACTTTGTTCTTTAATAAAAAATTATATAAAAAATAAAATTGATGCAAAATTCAAAAGCAACTTGAACAGAAATGCAATAATTCTTCTCACCTCACCATCAGCAGTCAATACCATTGAATGATGAGAGCCACAGGCAACTTCAATTACTTTTTTGTTTACCAAGTTGGTGGAGATTTGGCAAGGAATGTAGCTATGACTGGTTGTTCCATTTCCCAGTTGACTGTAAGCATTATGACCCCAAGCATATACTTCTCCTTCTATAATATAAGAAAATAGTTTTGAAAGTCTGATATAAATACTGGCTACATTGCAAGTTATCTTTTTCACAAAATGATTTTCCTTCATTGTGAAATAATTACATAGATCATAATAAAAAGCAAGCCCTTTGCTAACATTAATAGATATAATAAAGGTTGAAACAAATAAACAGTAGATGGCAGGCTTAGAAGGGAATGGTGTCTGTCAACCAACCAATATTCAAATATTGTTATCCTTTAAGTAGGGTTTCTTTTACATGATATACAAAATAATGTGACCATCTGCTTTCTCTTTTATTATCTCACTCTTATTAAAAAGATCCAACATCAAACTTTTCCCCATTGGCTTCAAAGGGCTTGTTACCAGCTGCACAGATATCATCAGAACGTTCTAGAGCCAAACTGCATTTGACAGACCTGAAAGATTGCTTCTTTGGGGCATATACCTCAAAGATTTACCTTTAGTTACCTCAGTTCCAAAGATTTACCTTTTAGTTACCTCAGTTCCTAACTCTAATTTAGACATGCTTGAGTGGGAAATATATAAAGATTATACTTTGAAGAACTATAATTTCACATACCGTATATACTCGAGTATAAGCCGAGTTTTTCAGCACATTTTTTGTGCTGAAAAAAACCCCCTCGGCTTATACTCAAGTGAGATTCCCTCTGAAAAAAAAATGGTGGGGAGCTCCGGAGCTGGGCAGCCACTTCCCTGCTTCCGTGTTTCCTTTGCAACTTGTAAGCATGGGGTTAATCGGAAGCAGAAAAGTTCTTGCATGAGGATATATTGTTTTTTCTTTATTTAACTGTTTTTAGGGGGGGGAAAAGACCCACCGTCATGTGAGAATGCTCAGACACGAAATCTATCCGCCTGAAAATAAGTGTGTGTGTGTGTGGGGGGGGGTTTAACAGAGGGAAGACATAGGGAGAAGGAAAAAGCGACGGAAGATCCTTCAGGGGAAACTGAGGGGGAGACTCACCCTTGGTCCAGATGAGCCACCTTCCCCACCCCTAAGGAAGCAGAGGCAGCCAGCAAGGGCAGGCAAGCCCCGCTTCACAGACTCCATCCGTCCTCGCTCCCACCCACCCACCCACCCAAAGCCACGAAGTCCCCCAATCGCGCACCCCAGAATCGCCCTCCCCTCAGGGGGCAGCAAGGACGCCCGGTGTTTCCTGAAACAAGAAGCTCCGCCGTGCAGTGAAAGCGCCCTGGCTCTAGGCTCAGAAAACAACGCGAGCCGAGGTGGCTTCGTTTCCTCAGCCCCAGCTGCTTTCAGTCCGCTCGGGAGGAGG